GAACCACATTTTGAAGGTATTTTCAGATGATTTTGTCTTCGAAGGGCACTGTGACCCTTTGCACTACACTGTAAAAAAGGAACCTCAGGGGTTATCACATTAACAAAAGAATATCATGTACTGTTAACTAAATAATTCCATGTTTGAGCCAAAAACATGATACAATCATGTTGCATAAACAAGATATTCCACAACTTCAACGTTTATAAAATTGAATCATGTTGAGCGAACATGATTCATTATAGTCAGACCGATCCTATGCTGAAGACCACGAGTGAGATCACGGGATATCACGCAAGTTCACGCGAGAATACGCGAGACAATCGGTTTTCTCTCGCAAATGGAATAAAATGTATTCAAGGTGAGATAACGTGATTCAATTACGTCAGCTAGATCTTCCGCCAAAAAAAAAGAACGTCGGGGCGTATTACATTAACAAAAAAATATCATGTACCTTTCACACAATAATGTTTGGTTTGAAGCGAAAACGTGATAAAATCATGTTGGATAAACAAGATATTCCACGACTTCACATTTATAAAATTGAATCATGTTGAGCTAACATGATTCATTATAGTCAGACTGATATTGTGCTGAGGACAACGAGTGAGATCACGGGATATCACGCGAGAACACGCGAGACAATCGGTTTTTTCTCTCAACTGGACTAACGTGATTGAATGACGTTATCTCAACTTGAATACATCTAATTAACATATATATACCCACCGCGGGTGGTTCTATCCTCTGAGCTCGGGTCCTCTACCAGAGGCCTGGGAGCTTGAGGGTCCTGCGCAGTATATATATATATATATATATATATATATATATATATATATATATATATATATATATATATATATATATATATATATATATATATATATATATATATATATATATATATATCTTGGCTGTGCCAAGATATATATATATATATATATATATATATATATATATATATATATATATATATATATATATATATATATATATATATATATATATATATATATATACGTTTTTTTTTTAATTATTTTATTCAATATCAATATTTGTCAAAGTTAATCTAATAAAAAAAAACACAGTGACGTCAGTTCCAAAGCGCTATTGTGTCAGACTCATCTCCCGCTGAAGAGGATCCAGGTCAAGAGATTACGGAAAATCACGCGAGATAACTGGCTTGCACCTTGTTGGGTTTTTTCAAGGGCAGAGGGGAGATTCCTGGCGTGCATCCACTTAATTTGAAGAAGGTAAGAGTCAAACTATTTTCATCTAAATCCATATAAAAATATGTAACTTAAAATTTCTCTACCATTTTCTACTTGTTCCATACTTGCGTCACATTATTTCATGTTCTGTAGATTAAGTCGGTTAGGTTAAGGCAGATAGCTTTTTGTTTACATTTATCGCCGCACCATGTTAGGTACATTCTGTGCGAAAAAAGTCTGCAGAGCCATATGTAGTGTAAGGGTCACAAAGCTGCTGCCAGAGACACAAATGGACCCCAGAAATGTCACAGTTTTGCTCCTCCTGAGCTCCCTGGAGGTTTAGTGGATTTTTAACACACGGATCTAACATCAGTCTATTTCTAACTATTTTAATTCTATTTCATTAATACTATGGAGGTAAATGTAGATACACACACTTTGGTACCTTTCTATAATCATCGAGATTCTTAATTAATTATGGTAGTAAAAAGTCCTACATTTCAGTCGGTGAAACCTGCAGAAAGCATTGCTTTCTGAGCTTTGTTAAATGTTCCTAAAATACCTGTTAGTTATGGATTTCTAGTATATTTTGTCAGGTTAAAACTCTCAATGGATTATCCATTATTACAGACTTGAGCTTTCTATTTTTTTTTTCTTTAAAATACATATTCCTCTGCTGTAAAGATGTTGGGGTTTTTTGGACTCTTCTTTGTTGTCCCCAAATAATTGTAGCTCAGAAACAATATTGAAGTTCATTGGTAAAATTGGTAAAATTTTGAAATGTTGATGTTTTTTTTGTGTTGATTGTGCTCATTTTGACCTATGTTACTATTGCTTTCTACCATGTTCAATTCACCATTGTTCTGCACATACGTGCTTGCATGTGTCCAGTGGTTATATTCATGAGGCATTCAAGGGACTTGTACTAAAAGATACAACTCAGTTCACTATGAATTGCATATTTTAATGGCTGAAAATATATCTGATCTCTTTCAGAACATCACCTGTCTGTAATCCACCTGCGTAAGTTCTGGTCAAGGGGTCATCGGCTATCAAGTTATAGATTTCAGTGGCTAATAGTAAGTTTTGCCAGATCTAAAGTTACTGAATGTAGTGTTAGAGAGCTTATAGAGCTAGAGTTCAGCTAAACATTTATTTGGCCAGTCTGTTTTATTTGTCTTTATTTGCGTGGGGATGTGGAAATGTAAGGAGTGTAGTCTCTCTCTGTCTCGTAGATATGACCTGTTAAAACATTTTACACTTAAACACCGGCATATGCGACGTTATCCATGCCCACACATAGACTGTCCATGTATGTACTTGTAAGACATGGAATGCTTTGCATATTCATTTAAGTAGAAGGATATAGACTGTGTTGACCATTCTGTACTTTTCACATATTTCTTTGGTGATATATTCATGTCTTTATTTAAACCTCTAACAGCTTCAGTTAGATGTTTAAATAAAATGTTAAACTCCATTTTAGTCATGGCATAATGAAGGGATACTAACAATTTTAAATATCTTTCAAATAGACTGCAAGCCACTGATCACTTTTGTTGTGACTTCCTTTGAATGTAGCTATGTTTTCAAGTGTGTGAACCTATACTGCTGGAGTTTTGAGATTGTTCTCATTGTTTTTACATCTGCATATTTAGGAAGACACTGCTGAGGTCAGACGAGAGTGCATCCTCAAATGTCTGTGTGTACCTAAATGAAGATCCAGAGAAGCTGGTGAGGGAGTACATGGTATGTTAAATTCTCTTTGTGTTTACAATAGAACTCCTAAGAGTTGTTAAAATACTTTCACCAACTAAGGTCCATGAGTGATTCAATCAATGTCAGTCTTAATTTATTACTTAATTACATGTGAATTGTCTCCCCCCCCCCAATACCCTTCCCTAACTCCCTTAGGACGTTGATGAATGAAATGGCCAAAGCCGAGACTGTCCTCGGAATCGTCATTTGAGCAGAGGCTGCCGATGCACATCTGGATGTTGGGATTGTCCTGGAGGAGGTGGAAGTTATGAACAGCTTGGGCAGTGTATCTTCTGCAATAGTGATGCTGCTGGGACTAATCTACGCACTAAACTTGAGCTACCCTCAAGTTTAGTGCGTTCAGCACTCAACTTGCTCAGTAACTCAAGCATACCTTTGAAGTAATACAGGAAATAATAATGAAATTGGATGGAAAGAACTTATCAAAGAAAGCACAAGTTCTCAATATGAAACTCGCTGCTAAGTTGAGTAAAGTTTCATATGGAAAATGAGTGTTTAAAGTCTGCAGTAGAAAAGATTTATATTGTTACAGTTCTCTAAGTTGAGCAACTATACTGACATGTTTTATGTTGTAAAGAATTGGCTGGGAAATGAAACTGTAACCTTTTTGTAGTTGTTTTTTTATTTCAATGTCCAACTCAGCTGTGTTTTGTGCTGTGTAAAAAAACGATGTATAACAATTCTGAAAATACAATTGTGTTGTACCTTTTCTAATTGTTGAGTGTTCTTCCTACACTTTCACCTAGTGCTATCTTAAAATGCTTGATTAACGCTTGAAAATATGTCTTTGAATTAACGTCATGAAATAATGGAAAGGATTTCCACATGATTAACTAGCTGTCTTTTAGCATGAAGCATATTTGTTGAGCTAACTTGCTTTTAGTGAGTTGGACCTACTGAATCAGGTAGTGTGAAGGTACCACTGTAAAATAAGGTGGTTTCAACTAGATTCGTCTTAATGAAGTTACATCAATGATTTGGTCCTAAACATTGCAGATTAGTTGGGCGGGCTGTATTGCATTACACTGGGTCACGCTACAGTAACTGAGTTAAAGGAACCTTTAAAACATATGTTGAGCCAACACATTTCATTTGAATTTGAATAACCTTAATGAATGGAGTTGAGCCAACTCATTTGATTTACAATCATCCATTGCATTACCATAATTCTGGTTAAGCCAACATATTTGGTTTAAATTAGAACAACCTTAATGAATTATGTTTTGCCAACTCATTTAATTTATATAAGAATAACCACAATATATTACGTTGAGCCAACATGTTTGATTTAGAATCACCCATTGAATCACCATTGTAACAAGTTGAGCCAACACATTTGCTTTACATTGGAATAATCTTAATAAATTAGGTTGACCTAACACATTTGCTTTAAATAGGAGTAACACAAGTACATGGTGCTGAAATAAAGCAAAGTAATCAGGTGGAAATCCTTTCCATAATTTTTTTATGTTCATCCAATGACTTTTTTTTCAGTGTACTCAAGTGACAAAATACAGTCATTACTGAGAGAATTCCTTTTGTGAGCCTCACAGAGTACTTCCAGACCTCTTATCTGCCTGTTACAAACACAACTTCTCCTGTTTTCCAACGGCATTGCACATTCTTATCAGGTGAAACACTTAAGTACATAGAAAACAGCAGTAAGAGCATTTGACTGGGTATTTGACTGTTTCATCTGTTACTTAAATCTGGAAAAATGTCAAATGAAGGAAAAAGTGCTGGATCTAAAATAGTAGTATTTAAACACAGTGTGAAGAAGTTGTTTGAGGTTTACCGTTAGGGTCATGACCTTGAAAATGTCTCTTATATCAGAAAATAATCCCACAATCAGGACGAGCTCCATACTTTTTGCTCTAAATTTATTTCCTTCATTTCAAGTGGAACAATGCCAACGTTTTATTAATAATCATCCCTGTCAATATATTTTTGTTGCAGTGAAAATGACACAATAAAATGACAGCAGAATGATTAAGATGATACAAAAACAGATTCAAAACATCTACAATTTTGTATTTACAGAACTGTCAGTCATATAAACACACAGTACATTTGAAGGTTCACAACAATATGCGCTGGATGAGCATTACATGCATTGCACTTATCTCACATTTACAACTTTGCCCCCCAAAAATCATACAGAACAAATTTAATACAGAATATTTACATTAAGCCCACATTGGAATATGTGCTGGTTCAATAACACCTTTTAATGTTTACTCATTATTTTTCACTGTAGCAAAAACAGAGTGAATCAACATGTACAGCTGTTTGTACAAGTTTATTTACAGTAATCATCATTAATAAGGGGCAAATATAAGTAATTCACACAATTACATCAAAGGCATCATGAGACACAATATGTTTACGAGGAGTTCAGTGTTGTTGTTTTTCTTTTTTGTTTCTTCTACTAGTTTTAATGAGACAGATTTTATAACAGTGTGTGAAATGTGACACAAGGACAACTTGCTAGCTGAGACATTTCCAGTACTTTACTGTTTACGTCAAATCCTGCTGATTCTTGATTGTATCAAGGAAGAGCAGATTGTGTTCAGAAACTCAATGAAAACTATGATATGCTCCCTAAACTAGATGAGCAGGGCAACTGTACTCTACTTTTGGATACACATGAGAACACAACAATTTGAATGGCATATGGCATGCGTTATATCAGGCTGAAGATAATCCACACTCTAGATGTGACTGCAAGAGCAAAACTAGAATTTCCCACAGATTCCCATACTAAACGTTATGGGCCCATGACCTTTTGACCGCAGCTTTTTTCCTTTGCCCTTTCAGTTTTCTATTTTACGCTATTTTGCGGATGTTTTCTTTGGACTTCAAAAGTGCACAGTAGGGATGGAGAAGGGTGGGTGTTTTAAAAAACAGCATTGGGTTGCAAATGGTGCAAGTTACTCAGTTTTGTCAATTCATGACTTTGATCTCTACTGCTGCTGTGTGAAAACTGCTTGACAGAAAAGTACAGTCCAGGTTAGTATTACAGTGGTATGTCACATTAATAAATGCTCCTATTTCTGGGTTCTACTTTGTTAAAAAAAATAATTAAGGATTTTTAAAGTCGTAAGTTGTAAGCCATTATTATCTTACCAGAAATTTTGCAGATAAATTTTGGAAGTAGAAGGCAACATCCAGTAGAAAGAGTCAAAGTTCTAAAGTCATAAAATAACTTCAGTTTGAAAATCATCAGGCAAATGTTAATTGTAAATGTTCAAATCAATGACAAGCATACAATTTACATTGGTATATTCACAAAGTTTTGCAAGTGCTGAAATTACCGGTACCTTCTTGTGTTAAACGTACATTCGCAGTCAAACTACATGCCTGATACAGAAGTAAAACATTGCAAAACACAAGATAACTTTATCCAATTTAAGTGAAGCTTTTTTTTAAATGAATTGTAATACTGCCTTGCTTCTATCTGGTGCATTTACTCCGGCCTGAAATGCTTTATCTCCCAGAGATAATCTGCCCATTTTTGCAGCCTGCTTGTTCAGTAAGAGGGATTGCTGCAAAATAAACAACTCAAAAGGAAATGGACAGAGATAGATGAAAGGGGGAAGCACGTGACAAAGGTCTCAAGGCTGGGAACTGAACCTTGGACATCGGCGCTGTGGAGCTACAGTCCCTGCCCATGGTGCACCTGCTCCACCACCTCACCACATAACCGCCAGGAGAAAAAAACCTTTGAACAGTGGGCATTATAAACTGGATTAGACTCTCCTGTTTTCTTTTTAGTATCAGAATTTTCACAGCTGAATTTAATCTGCATACATGACAGGATTCCTGTATTAGTTTGTGTATTTCAAGATATTTGGAATTATCTGGACCTGCCTTTGTCAAACAGTTTCTCAGCCATGAAAATGTCGTGTTGCCTTTGTCAACAATGCAAGTGGAACTAGGATATTCATAAAAATGTTTACAATGGAGGATTAAAAAAGACAGTCAAACCTTTAAGACAGACTTTTTTGTTTCTTTGTGGGTAAACTCTCCTGGATGCGCCATGTTGCATCATGAACATGGGAATGACTTGAAGTCCACCCCATGTGAGCCGAGAAGCATGACAAAAGCCTTAATGTGACAGGACTAGTCAGCCCTGTCACTTTGCTTTGCTTTGCAGCGTTCTCTACTGCCTCTTCAGTTTCAGACTCCGCTGACAGTAATTTTTGAATATAACAAGTCAGTGGGCCTTTCCATAAATATTATACATAATGGAGGCTTTTGTCAGTCCACTGGAGCACGATCAAGGAGGCATCATTTTGTAAGCATTACTCTTCCGCATTATAAATCTGAGCATTTACTCTACCAGACAATGAACTGGAAGCTGTTACATTAACAAGCCTGTACAACAGTGTAAATCTGTAGGCTTTTGATGATCTATAATGCAATGTTAAACAATTACTAATAGCTAATTGAAGCATTTGCAGCCATAAATTAATCCACACTACACAAGAAGTATAGCCACACGCTTTATGTACACTATTCACTTGTCTATACAGCATGAAATTATCTTCCCGAGTAAATGTAAACATTCAATCACTGAGTCGTGTCAAGGTATTTCCTCTCCAAGGTTATTGTGCAGTCTGCAGAAAACAGAGATTGGGGTGAAAAGTGTTGCTTGATAACACTGAAACCAGGCACTTGTCTGTGCCTGAAAAGATAAAAACCATTCCCTCAATCAAGGGATCAGGAAAACAAAGAGAGAATGCAACATAGATGGAAAAAAGAAGGCAATCAGTCTGTATGTAAGAGAGATAGTGTATACAAAAAATGCATTTATGATCCAAGCCCCTCACGTGGTCACATAATGGTCTTCCTGCTTCAACTTTAGGCATATACAAGAACCCTGGACCAGTTTCCTCTTCTACTTTTTATATTTTGCAGGTAAATACCGCACATCTGCACATTAAAATATTTCCATCAGAAATACAGGAAAGTCAGGTCATCTTTTCTATTGATGGCTTATCAACGTTCCAATGCCAATAAGTTCTTTTTAATCAGTTTAAAATAAGACTTAAAAATGTATCTTACGGTGCAACACTTTACCAAAAGCAAAATAATAAGTAAAAAAACAGATTCAAAATTACTAAGATGGGAAACTGGTTTATAAACAAAACATGATCAGCAAAAAATTTGCACAATTTCTTACAAGTGCTGATGAGTGAGTGTGTAGTTTTTGTGCGCAAGTTTCCATGACAGGCTTTTGTCATGAAAGAATACAGCTGACTTGTCTGCAGCTCTGGTTTTGTGACTCATATGGAAGACAAGTCGTCATGACAGGAGGACGAACCACGCCGCATTTTGGGACTGCAGCGCGTCAACATGGTGATTTGGGTGCTGAAGTTGTTACTGCTGTTGGACGGGTGCTGATATTTGGTGTCTGAGCCCATGTATCTCTGCAAGTGCCACCTCCTCCACTTCCTTTTGATCTCCCCTTGGACCTACAGTGGGACGAGGAACCATAGTTAAATTTTCACAGCTGCAGATCTTAACTTGTTCTTATAGGTGGGAGCACAAAGAAACAAAATAATGAAAAAGAGAGGAAAACAAAAAAATGTTCAAAGAATTATAGAACATTAAATACAGCAAGGGTTTTTAATAGATTGACTATTATACTTTGTTTTATAATATTACAAGAGGACTTGGATTTTTTTTTTTAGATAATTTAAAATAAAAAGAATTATGCACCACAACCAGTTGAAGAAAACTGCTATGAGTTTACATTTTAAATTTTTAAGAAAACGAATCTGGCACATGGTTAAGAAGTAACAAAACAAAGACATTTATTTATTTTCTTTATTCTAGTTTTACCAAGGAAACAGTTAAATTGCTTTCTTTACAATTTGAAACAATATTTTGCTGATGTTTTTACCATTTGTGATTCATTGCTCAACTAAACTGCATTTCTTTTAAGTTGTACAGTAGATGTACCAAATATTATGCTACTTGTATTCAGTTTTTTTTTACAGCTTTTCTTGCTCAAAAACAACACATAATTACTTACATTTTGTTCCTACGTTTTGTCATTGAAAGACCTAATAACTACAAAGAAGTTAAACTTTATAAAGGACTTGTGAAAATGTCCTCCAATTATTATTATTCAGTGGAAAATCAATTGATTTAATCTGGCTCAGCACTGAGGACATAATTAATCTCTCCACTAAGAGCCTTTGCACTACTGAGATTGACCGTGTTTTTCTTTTCTCTCTCTTTCTCCAGGCGGCGGAGGAAGACTGTGGAGAACAACCTCAGTGAGGGGAAGATGCCTGGAATGAGCAGCTGGAAATCTCCATCCACCTTTACAGGACTGTGTGTGAATGTAAATGGGGAAGCAAGTGAAGGACCTCTCCGCCTGGGAATTGTGGGTTTTGAAATGAGGGTTTATGTAAATGTTTCATGGACCTACCTCAGCGTTGAGGAAGCAGTAAAGGACTGCCACTACAAAGCCCTAAGGAAAGACAAACAAAGGTGTAAGAGTCATAAAAGGGATGGTACTGGAACATCATGGTTGGTTTTAACTGGCATTTGCAGAATTAAAATTTAAGGTTGACCTTGAATTTGGTAGTTCAATTTCAAGGACTTAACTTTGGTTCTTTAAAGAGCTTGATATGTGGTCCCCATGCATGTTTATATAAGTTCTCTGAAAGTTATAGCATTTTAAATAGTATGTTTAAATCTGTACAATGAGGAGAAAAAAAATTATAAAGCTACTTGGCAGAAATATAATCTGTATGTAACATTTTTACCTATAGTTCCAACCTGAAAGACATTTTGTACCTGAAACGATCCCAGAATCAAGTCAAAAATGAGACGTAATTCAGTCTTCACTTGCTCTGGGATGAATGCGAACACTATAAAATTAATTCCAAACAGAGGAATCAGAAGCAGGGTCGATTTTGCAAGTCGCCTGAAATGACAAAGCAAAAGATTGAAATCCCCCACCGGCTTTTTCGATCAAAACCAATGATTAATCTCTCTTTACATATACAGCAATAATAATATTTCATCTCAGCAGACCAGAGATGGAGGGAAAAACACCATTAAAATTGTCGGTGGGAAATAGCTCATGAATTATCGCTGGTATATGAGATGGTCTCCATCACAGAAAATTCACTTGAACACTGTGAGCGCTGCATATGTGCAGCTATCAGTGGAAGCCTACAGTTTGCCTGTCAGCACATAAAAAGGGCAATTTTATGGAATTTCAAGAGATTTTTTAAAATCTATTTATTTATTTTTGTCTACTGAAACCCAAACAAATTATCAGCTTTCAGTGAGTCCTGAATATATACAACAACATTTGCATATTTTCTGTGTATTTTACAACAAGCTTTAAAAAAATTGGTATTTAAATACATCCATATTTTAACCTTTACTTTCACTTTATATAAACTATCAAAAAGCACAGGGTAAAAAAAAATGCTTTATATACTCACAAATACTGGTTGGACTCATTTCTCCCAATATCTGGGCAGTTTATCTTCTGGCGAAGTATTCGAATGATGCAGATGAAAAGAACAAAATTCACCTGTGGAGAGTTTTTCAGGAGAGAGGTTTTGTTGAGGGTATTTAATATTCTAAATGTAATTTACTTCAGATAGCCTGTGGAAAAAAACAAGGGCTTCTAAATAGTTAATATGAGTTGAACTCTGAATTGGCATTACATGCATTTTCAGGCAACAGTGAGAGACAAAATGTGAGCTAACAGCTGAGTCTCCTCATATGAAAGGGACAGCATTGATGCTTTCAAATGATCTAGCAATGGCCTCTTGTGGAAGCTGACTCTAAGATGCTGGACAGGAGGCTCTGACTAATCTTTAAAACTTGGATCCAGGAGGAGTAAAGTGGCTTCCATCCTGGTCTTCATCCTGCAGAATTGCAGAGGGGGGTTGTGGGAGTTTACTTCTTTGAGCCAAATGTGGTTTGTGGATTTGGAGAGATGGAGAGATATTTTGACAGCTTGATGCTGCTCCAATTTTTGCATTGACTCAGTAAAAGATAACTTGAAATTTAGTTGCCGTCTTCATGAATAGTAAATTCACATACATACAAAAAATACACAGCTTTTCTAACAACATTTGACTGTTTTTGTCTTTTCATACACAATTATATACTCCAACCCATTAAAACATGACTGACTTTCTTCAGGCAGAACTTCATTGATTATATCTCAATGTTTGAAGAGCCATTCTCTCCTCTCAGCTGAGGTCAAAAAAGAACATGTGTTACATCCATTCACCTTTCAAAGCAGTACCAACAAGTGAGAAGGTTTGAACCGACTCGACATAAATGATTGACAGATTGTGAACCTACCAGGATTGATGCTAAAATGGGTGTTTTAATGATCCACCAGAACACATCAGTGGTCTCGATAATGTCCCAACACCTGGGGAAACGTGAAACAGTACTAAAAATATGGAAAACCAAAGCAAGGAAAGATTTTACAGTTCCCTTTTTTTTTCTCTCACCCTACGTCATTGTAGTACGCTTTACCGATGCTCCAGGCTGTGATGATGATTGCTGGACCTCCTAGTGAAGCAACACAGTTAGATAAAACCCGAATCAAAAATGGGATTGCATTCTCATAAAAGTTATCCTGCCTTTTTCCACAGGCACTCCATAGCAGCACTGTAAAAAAAACTGCATTCTCACCCCAGCCGATCATAATGTAAGCCCAGAAGTATTTCCTCTCTGAGAAGAAAGAGACAGCGAGCAATGCGTGAAGATAGAGGCCCTCCACAAGCAGCCAGAAGAAACTGGCCATCACACAGTACTGAAAAAATACAATGACGGCTTTGCAGCCAACCTGGAAATACACACAAAAACAAAATTAATTAGTCATAATAATATATATTCTACAGTTGCTTTGTAAATTTAGCTTGATGTACCAAAGTTTGGACATGACACAAACATCCAAACAGCAAAGTTGAAAATTAAAGCATTTTTATTTGTAACCCCTGATATACAGAAATTATCACCAACCACATCTTTGCAAAAACTGTGAAATATTTTCATTCCAAAAAAGGTAATTTATTTAACATAAACAATGAAGTAGGAATTCTCTTAATATTCACAATCTAAGACGCAACCTGACAAGGATTATGTTCAATTTGCTGGAACATGTACATCATAGAAATATTTAATGGATATTTACAGAAAACATTGAACCAGACAGGAATGAGTAGATATGCAAACACGCAGACCGCCTACACGCCTACACATATGCAGAGTGACATCAGCTTGAACTGGTGAACATAATGGAACTAATGCTCACTGCAAGCACTGAAACTCATATTCTACCTTTTTCAACCTCTTTCTCTCTGACAACAGCTTCAGCCCATCAACCTAAAAATATTCAAGACCACACTGGAATTTGAACTTTTCAAGTATACTTTTAATGTACTTGAAGATGAATATGACTATCTTAATTCCCATTCAATTATTCTAGAGTTTTAATATTTCCATTAATTATGTATTTAAAACTTTTGACTGTACTGAACCTGGTCCAAACAGTGCTACTGCGATGTTACGTACCGTTGAAAAATAAAGACATTTTTGATTAACTATATGCTCGTTATGTGCCATACAGAAAGTGTAGGACCAAGTACACAACTCTGTGGTACACCAAAAGAGACTCAATCATGCATGTAAACAATATAAAAACACTACATTATCTCTTACAGAAAACAATGTTTGAACTTCTGTCTGGTTAGCAATGGTTAAAAGGTTCAATTTAAAAATCTGAATTAAATAAATGAATTAATGTAAAGGTAATTAAATGACCAACACATAAACTCACAGAGCCCAGGGAGCAGTTGTCGACCTCTCCAAACTCGTAGAGAACCACATCCTTGACGAACACAGCAATGGCCTTCAGGATAAATGAGACAAATAAATGCATGTGGATGTAGTTCCTTGTGCAGTGGAGTTTTCTGGGATAAACAGAAAAGAGAGAGAAGGATACAGATCGAGGAAAAGAGACATGCTGAAATTTTAATTAACGCAGTCTAATTATCCCCATCCCTTGGCGTTAATAGCAGAATTACTGGCTGAAATAAATCAAACCTCTTCAATTACGTACTAAGTGAGTGGATCCACATCACACACCCTGAAAGCTTTATATGGGTCTTCAATAAAACAGACAAAAGATGTGCATTTCAAATCAACTAAACATTTTTAAAACTCTTCATTATTCAGTGTGTAATAGTGCTTCAACTCCTGATTACATTATCAGAACCAGAGTGATTAAACAATTAATGAAAGAGATGAGAATTGACTGAATATTTTCCAATGACTCAGAACATTTAACACTTTTTTTCTAGATTTAGTTGCTCCCAATTATAAAATTTCATTTCTTACTAGTGAACCTATTTCTGTTCATTTATTTGCAATTGCAGGTTTTCTTGAAACATCTGCATTGACTTCTTGAGATCGAATGGCACTTTTGATATAAAAATTTTATTTATTGTTCAGATACTTATTTCGTCATTGCAGTGCACACTCTGTGTTTTTTCATTCATTTTTCATCTATACAAGATTCCTTTAAAAAATACAAGTTTTCTCTCATTTTGATGCTTTTCTTTGTTCTGTTACCTAAAAATAAAACTGATAGATTTAACCCTAAAACAAACAAACAAACAAACCATATTAGACTTGATTTTCCTTCTTTTATTTTTTTCAAAGGTCAGGTAAATGTAGCAACAAATTTTATTTAGTAGGAGAAAATCAAATGGCTCGTTGCTGATCCGTTGTTCAGACCAAGATGGAAACATTCAAACCAGCCAAACAGCAACATAACAGTAAGGCGCTTGATTCAACTGTGATGATTCGGATCACTGTCCAATGTTTTGTGATATATTTGGCGATACTTTGTTTTACGCGTTGTAAATAAGACTGTCATGACACCGCCATAAACATGACATAACCCGTGTCATGAACATGAGTAAGTCTTCATGAATATTTATGACTGCTGTCATAAAGTGTCATTCAGTAAATCATGACACCTTTAATACAAAGTTGACATTATTCAAAATGTCTTTCTAATGACAACTTGACATTAATCAAGAAATCATGATCTGACATAAATTTGTTAAAAGTATTTCTGATTAAACTTTAAAAATGATGTAGCTTTATGTTGTTAAAGCTAAAGTTTAATCAAGATCAGTAGCGATTTTTTTCAGGAAAATTATTTACAGGAATTTAATTCCCTTATAAGAAAATGAACACAATAATGTGTACCTAATAATATGAGGATAGATCTCTGTTTTGAAAAGTCTTCTGCTAAAGTTTCAGCTGAACAAAGGAAAATAAATAATCTTACTCAAATGTAAAATTTTCTTGGTGTGAAAAGTGCAATCGCATTTATGCAACTTAAAGCCAGTCCCTGACAATCAAATACATATAAGGATTTATTTCCACCATAATCCTTGCTATAAAGGATTCCTGGAGTTTGAGTGACATTTCAATGCATAAGGAAAGCGTTTGCATCATTCATATTATCCTTTTAAAAAAGGACAAGTGTTACACTCCAGTGTGAAAATGCATTAATCCGTGAATGATAAATCTGATCAAAAAGAGCTCCATCTTTATATGAGCTTGGAAATGAATAATTTGTCATGTCATCTATGATGCATCACATTTATTTCATTTTATTTTCTCATTTTTCTCAACATCAACTGATTTATTCATTTTAAACGTTGTGGTTTTGGTTCATAAACAGATCGTAGCAATCCTTTGGAGTATCCAGAACCAAAGAAAGCATGGCTTCCAGATATAATTTTTTATTTTAAGTAAAGTGGAACTTGGAAACAGATTTATGGTTTTTAGATGTACTTAAACTAAACTCTGTTTAGACCTAACACACAAAGACGTTTAATCTCTAAGCCATTGCACATGTAAAACTATACTTATCAACAGTATTTTATTATTCACTCAAAGCACTAATAGATTTGAGAACAGTGTGAAGCTAAAGTCAGCGGTGAATTTGCTTACCTGAAGATGCAGAGGACCACAATAGCTGTAATCAGAGAGATAAGCGAAACACTGTGACCAATGGTGTATCCAACCTTGACCTGCCAGAAAAACTTTCCCTAGAAATGACAAGAAATGTGGGAGGGAGATGCATTTACAAACATAATTTTGTGCATAGTGGTAAGGTATTCCAATTATTTTTTTTCTTTTTGGCTGCCTTACTTGTTTGAACACGAGGAGACACTAAAATCTTTTTATGTCATTGAATGCTTATGTGAAATTTTCATTTTATATCTGTGGGGAAAAAAATGCCAATGTAAAGAAATTGTCAAGCTTTTCTGTCAGAGAGGCAGCAACCAAGAAGGTTACACTCCACAAAAAGCTCTATTGGCTCAAAATGAATACATATCTGCGAAGAAAAACATCATCCGTGAAAAAAAAAAACAATTTTTCTAAAAGCAAGGAAAGCAACAGAAATCTTACTCCATGATTAACCCTAGTCATCAATCCCGGTCCATTTTATAGGGCCTTTCACTGGAGTTGGAAGTGCTGCGACTTGGAGGGTTTTTCTGATATCTGCTAACGCGTCCTTCGTTTCTGCTCTTTAAGTGCCAAAAATACTCGAACCACTTAAGATTTTTACATTTTGTCAAAACCATCAACATTTTTATGGGACAAATTAAATTTTAAAAAACAGACTACCATCAATGGTAGCGAATGGAAAGTGATAGTTTTCAACATATTTCACAAAAGTGAAAATTGATCTACTGACCCTGAATACAACTTCACAATTTTATTTTCACTTTTTGCAATTTTGTGTGCATTTATCTGATTAAATCAAATATACCTGTAAAATGTGAAAACGTTTTAAGTACATGAATGTATTTATGAGACACTGTACATGACCTAACCACAAATATTTCCTTTTATGTAAAAACACTCCAGTCTGTGTGATGTAGAATAAAACTCTGAAATGATGCTGTTTTCTTTGTCAATAAAATAAACGTCATTCCAGATGTTTCTTTTATTGACGTCTGGAATGAATCAATTAAGCTAAAGTCAATGATGGTTTTCTGAAGCTGCATCTTTCTTTCAACTCAAAAATCAATTCCAACCATTTTAGAAAGGTTTAGTTTAGGCTTAAGAAATGTCTTTGTTCCCTCATATGTTTTACTTCAGACAAAAAAGACATCAGAGGCTCTGCATCCTGCGATACACAAAGTCATCGACTATGCAGAGAGACGGACATCAAATTCCTTTTAGAGTCCCCGGCTCGTTCAAACCTTGCTGAATTCCTATGAGGAATACTAATGAGACTCTGTGTGACTCAGAAAGCAGACTGCCCACCAAGAAAGCTTTTTACCGCCGTGTAGTGCTCCTCCGCTCCTCTGCTCCTTGCCCTGCCCCACCTTCATCAACACAGACAAGCTTTGCTCTCTCTCTGGTTGAACAAACCAAAGGAAGGCATCGTCTAATGTATTTATTACCTCCCTATCTTCTCCGACTCCTGCAGGCATAGTGAATAACGTCTCGTGAAGCTCGATAACACGAGCGGGACTTTCTGACTGACCCGGTCATGTCAAAGTACGTCTGATGCGTCCGGCTTCAAGATTGCGACGCTTCAGCAAACAATCAGCAGGGTGTGTTCATTTTTAATGGAGGCAGCATATTTTGCCCTACACATCATGAATTGTTTTAAGTATTTTTAAATCAAAAGGAACCCACACACTTCCATGCAATCAAATCAAATGTTCTCATAGTTTTATTCACTATAACTCATGAAAAATAAGCGTATTTTTCATTTAGATCAACATAACTGAACACGTTCCTGGGAAAATATCTAAACATACAAGTTCTAGAGATGTGTCTGCAGTGCGAAGATTAAATCATCCTCTGCAACAGACCATAACAAACATAAATGAAAGCAGATCTGAGCTGAAAACTAGAGCCAACAATCAATACAGTCATCTTGCTGATAGACCTAACAACACTGACCCACAGAGCAAACAAAAGAAGCTGTCACTGAATTATTCCTCACCACTGGCTCTTGACATGCTCCCCTGTCGAACTGCCGCATTCATTCGCCACGGGACTTTGAGTGTAGCCTATGGATGTCGGGGGCTTACTTACATCATCGCTGGTGCCATTGAGATTGTAGCCACAGTTCACAGCGATGTCAATAGGATGCATCTCCGTCCAGCCATCAGCTGTGCAGGTTTTGGAGAGGTTCCCTGCAGAGGGAGAAAGAGAGTAGGCAGAAAGTGGATTTGACTTCTCAGACAATATGAAATAGTCAAGAGACACAACATGTATGACTATTCCTGTGCTTCTTGGAAATAAAGTCAGAGTGAACACCCTGGTGATACCAAAAGAGCTGACCGAGACATTTTATTCTAAATTTAGAATATTTTGAGACTGGAACATATGAGATGTTTGGTAAAAATCACACACAGTGATCCAGGAAAAGAACCTCATCCCAGCAATGAAGCATAGAGGTGGAAGTATAATGGTTTGGGAATGCTTTATTGCAGTAGAGAGAGGTTGAAGAAAATAAAAAGTAAATAGAAAGTAAAATGCCTCCTAAATCTTTTACAACTTCATATTTTAAAACATAAAACAAAAATAATTTAACATTATGGTCCAAAACCCCCCAGAAGTTCTGACATGGCAACATGCCTAATTAAACTTTAAGTTTAGTCATAGCTTAACATTTTGGTTTGGCAGTCTTGGGTTTTATCAGGGGGCTTACAACTAGCCCCAACACTTTGCATCAGCTTCAAGGTTTTAACATTACAAGCACAAAAACAGCCAGATATAAAACAATACAGTAGAAAGTGTTGTGGTTGGTTTTCATTTTCATTTACAAGAAGATGGAAATACAACTCTTTCAAACTCCATTGGCTTCTGGAGAAAAATAATAACTACTCTGAATAATAAAATGTTTTTGAAACAAGGTGTGTACATGCATGTGTGTGTATGTGTGTTTTTCTTTTAACTTTTGTGCCGAAGTCTGTGCATGGTTAGACATCAGAGGTTCACACCAATTCTTATTCTTGGTTAAAGTACAACCAAAAACATGCTTTGTACCCTCTAAGGTTTAAAACTACCTTCCTCGGAGATCTGCCTGGACTTCTTAACTTCTCTGTTACTGAGTACAGGAAAATACAGCTTCATTATTGCTAATCAGAATGTGTTCTTCAGTAACTTACAAATTATTTGTAAGATTTCATCAAAGATTTGTTCACATATTGTAAATCAACATGTTGTCTAGTCTGGAGCTCGGTGTGACAGGCAGCAGGTCTGCTTTGTGACTAAGCATGGCTAATTGCAGAAAAATGTCATCACATGAGCCGAGGAGTGAAAACGTGCAGTAGGAGGTTTCGGTGTACCATGATGTTCTGCTCAGTCAGGAAAAGGTCAGCATGTGATTGAAATGTCAGGTTGTCCTCACTGTAGCTGTGTGTAAACATGCTGCTTGTCAATAAGTCCCCCGTTTTATACAGCGATTAGATCATCTCCAAGACAGTTGGAGGATGCTCTTCTTCACTTTTGGGTGGGGAAGAACTTTGCAGAGAACTTTTAAAGATGTCAATGCCACCTTTAGTCTAAGCAGAAGACCTTCAGTATTTGTAGTGTATTTATTGCTCTGTTGCGGTAAATTACCTGGCTGGACTCAAGGGTATTTCGGTTCAAGTAGTAGTCTGGCACATCTGGTTTTGGTGACGTGCACTTGCCATTCTAATCTTAAATATAATATTTCAATGTGAAGACTACAGAAAAGTCAGCAGGGTTTCTGAGATGCCCACAACAACAACAACAACAAAAAAAAAAACACATATATGATTTTAAAAAAAGGATGGGATTTTTATTTTGGAGAAATGTAACTGAATCAAATACAGAAAAGTTATCAGTGTTTTGTGTCTGATTGTTTTAAAACATAGTTATATTTCGTCCTGGCTTTGAAACAAACCTGCTCAAAGAGTGTGAAGCATGTCAGCAGAAACATATCAGAACATGTCGTTGTTGGTTGTGGTTTTTGCACTACATCAACACATTTGCTTAATTTGTGTACTTCACATATCAGCTTTCAATTATTCTTCATTATATGAGATAAAAATTACGATTCAAGACTCGGATCAGGAGTCCAAGTCAAGGCTCAAGACTTTTGGGTGTAAATCGGAACCATATCAGAAGTCCTTTAGACTCAACTTGAGTAACTATCTAAGTCAGATTTTATGAAAAAAACATTGTAAATATGTTAGTAATTTGAGTGAAGTTAAAGAAAATAAATGACAGGGACAGGACACAGTGTTGGAATTACAAAAAAGAATTTCTCCTTGCTCTGATAATTCTTTAATTTGTTTTAATCAAATAAATGATCTAAATTGTGTTTTAAATGTTTGGTTTTTTTAAAGCAGATTCTAAAGCTTGATTGTTGAACATTCAAAAAGATACTTTACACAAAGAAATGAAGAAATGACTCATAATTTTATCTCAACATTCAGTAGCATCATCCATTATTACAGAAATGTCTTTCTGATATTCCTGCACTCAGTTGTGGTTGTTAAGGTTTTGTGAATTGCTATATGGGGTTCTCGGTTTCTTAAAATAATGTTTAAAAAAAAAAGTAAAACAGTTTTTCCTTCCTCTATGATCAGTTTAGCAGCTGATGTGGTTGTTATAAAATACTACAAGCTAACATGGATAGAGGTGTGTTTAGTGTCATTTGCTTTGTGAATCCATTTCACAAATAAAGAAAGATCACACAGAGTACAAGGAACTCTTTCCATAAAAATCAGTGTGTGTGTGTGCGTGTGTGCGTGTGTGTGTGTGGGGGTGTGTGTGTGGGTGTGTGTGTGTGGGATGTGTGTGTGTGTGTGTGTGTGTGTGTGTGTGTGTGTGTGTGTGTGTGTGTGTGTGTGTGTGTACATATGGGTTGATATTGTTTCACTTTTGTTTTTTGCATATTTTTATTCATGCAGTTTTATCCCCTTCAGCTTTTTTATCCTCTTCTTGTTTGGTGTTCCTCCACAAGAATCCGACTCAATCTGTTTATTTGCTCTGCTTACTGCTGACATCCTCTGTTTGCTTTTCATCAGCAGCTTTGCCCTTAGTACAGCACAGTCTATATAGATTGAACGTGGCTGGTCATCCAGTATTGGCGAAAATAATTTTAGGAGCTCTTTATCTGTACAATATGGATGCAAAAAAATGCAAATATTGAATCCCAACCTATTTAAAAGTTTTCTGTTTTCTCTAGACTTTAGATGTAATTTCGGTGTTGGCTCATAAATGTTAAGTTACAAATAGACGTCTTCAAGGATTACAGGACCTAATTTTCTTTTCCCATGTCACTTCAGTGAAACGTTTTAGAAGGAATATTGAAATATTTCACTTTATGTTAATTTCACAGCTTAAGAGCTTAGGTAAGGTTCTTTCTCAGAAGCCATTTCAAACATAGATGTTAAGTTCAGGCTTCAGGTAACTCAGCTGTCAGTTTCTTAAACAAATCCTCTCTCGCCATGTCACTTCCTGTTAGGTACACTTTATAAAATTCCATAATCCGCCAGGAAGACAGTGTTCTAACAGGTGCATCTTGTAATTTAGACTTTGATGTCTCTGCTACAGAAGAATGAGGTTGAATGAGTCAGAGAAGCAACTCATTGTGAAATCTGACATGACTTTGGTCCTCCTTGAAGGATGAATTACTGGTTTGAAGTAAGGAAAAGCATAAAAATATGCACATCATTCTTTAGCAAAGTTGTTTCCTTCTTTCAAAGTTTGAAACTTTTTTACTTATTCATTAGAGCCTTAGTGTATTGTGCTCAGTCCCAAGGTTATAATACACAAAACATCATCCAAAAAATTTTGTACTAGGATAATTTTTTAAAATCTGTAAATAGAGCTTTCAATCCACGGCTCTTAATGAAAAATGTCTGCTTACAGACAAAGACTCAAAAACCTGAAAGGTTTCCAAAAAAGAGAAACAGTGTTTCATTCAGTGAGCTACAGGCAACATTTTTATTTTTTTTTAATCGATATTAAGAAAACAAAAGAAATGCTCAGAGAAAGGAATAATTGTCTCGCCATCCAAGATTAATAGGGAACTGGGAGAGAGAGTCTCAACTTTCAAACATTTAGGAGTTGAAATTGACCATGAACTGTGCTTTAATCATTGAGCACAGAAGAGAATACGACAACACAGGCTGTTCTTTTTGATGAAACTGAACATTTTGAAATTAGACAGCGCTATTCTCGAACTATTTTAATATGCTCTTTTTACAGAGGGTTTTATCTTTTGAGTGTATTTGCACTTTGGGAAATATGCGTGCTAAAGATCATAAAATATTGCAGTACGTGACTAAATTATCCAGCAGGGTTATTGAAGTTGGCCAGGTATTTGCAGCACAGCTGTACAATAAGCTGATTATTAAAAAGACGAATGAAATTCCTGCGGTTTCAACACATGCTCTGCTTTACAAATTCAGCAGAAGGTCAAATGGCAGATTTTTTCAAAGGAAAGTCTGAACGACATGACTCCACAAGTCATTTGTGCCTACAGCAATCAGACTGCAAAATAACAAAGCAGATCTGTTGCACTGGGTCCCAGTTTTTTTTTTTTTTTTTTGGGTGGGAGGTATCTGTCATCTTTTATCTTAGCTATTCATCCTCCTTTTGTTTCTTTTTTTACACCTCCTTATTAAAATGTATCTTTGTATTTTTGTCATGTCTATATTGTACCTCTAGTCTGTTTTTCCACTTTTTGTCTTTATAGATGTGCCATGATGGATCACCTGAGTTTCCCCTGTTGGATAACGTGCCATGAACTGGCAAAGCTTTAAAACTACACAGAAACATAAATAACTTTAATGAGTCTGTTACCTCAGCAACATGTGATAACCGAGGAGCAGGGTCAATTGAAACCTGGATAAGGGACAATGTCACCAACTTTAAATGATTTGTTTCACACCTTACTTATTTGCCTTTGGAGAGAGAGAAATTATCCATTCACCCAGGACCCGTAATAGGATTATTTCATAGCAGTTAATTCTGAAAACTGAATTAAACTCACTTGTCAGATGAAGAGTGTAAAAATCCATGAATGTTTTATATTTAAAACCTGTGGGACATATAATCATCCGCAATCCTGGGGGTTGGAGTTTATGAAATGTATAACTTGGGACATCTCAAATTATATTTATCCTTATGATTCTGACTAAAGGAATGTTGTTTATCTTTGGTAAATGTTTGTGATAATTTCCCTTAGAAAGTGGACAATGTTAAATAATTAAAAAGGACCTAACGAGAATTTGTCCCTTTATTACTTATCATCATGCCCCAGCAGGTTACAGGTTCCTCATGGGTCAAATCTTAAGGAAATTATATCAACACATCACATTTTCAGGGCAGGTTTCATTCTCTGCAGGCGAGAAAATCCACTCGACCTCCACCCATGATCAGCCTCTTGAATCGTGACTCAGATGTAATTAACAGGGAGCAGAACTGGGATTTCTAATCATTACAGGACAACTTGTGTCAAAATGCGGGGGTAAGGTAGAGCAGAGAAAATATTTTCTCCAACAAGATATACTTGCTCAGGGTTACATCATACAAAAACTAGCTCTATTGATAATCCTAATTCTGTATGACTGAATTGATGTACATACATATTTCATATTTATTGAAACGGCAAAATAAGTTTCAAAAGCAAAATATTTGAGATAATGAATAAAAATTCATTCAGATTGCCACAACATCTCATGCCTAATAAATGTAACTCTTATTTTGATAAATGATTCCATATTATTGAAACACACTTTGTCAAAAACCTGGTTTGTATGGTTTTGACAGTGACAGATGGGATAAAGTTTCATCTAAAGTCAAACCATATCCATGATCTGCCTCACATTGTCGAGCAAGACATTTAACAACTGAACTTCTCTATGTCCAGCACTGACTGCACTTTCTTACATTTTGTCTTGCAATCAGAAACAGACTGCAAAACCGAAACTTGCACAAGAAAGTTGCAGATATAAATAGATAAAGTCTTCACTGTAGCAGTAGTTGCTAAGCTTGTGCTTAATGCAGTTTTCAAAAAAAGGGACTCATGTCGAACCATTCACTTTAAAGATGTAAAACTGTGTAAAGGCTGAAAAATATTCAACTGTTACCTGAACATATCTGCTGTGATGCAGATAAGTTCACAAGCAGATTGAAGTTTTCTTGAATTTTTTGCAGGATGTTCACAGCACCTTCAACATCATTCCTCTCTCCTTATGCCATTAGTTCAAGCGGGGTTGAAAGTGCACCCTTCATCTGCAAAGCATTTTCCTGTGTCTCTAATTTGAAGTTTGACCCTGAAAAGGCGCTAATGCCACCATGAGGTTGGTGTTGTGGAGTGAGTGGGGTTAAGCATTAACGAATAGCTACATGTGATGAATTCTACTGGATGCTTAAGAGGCTTTTCACAACTACAGAATAAGCAAAGGTGAAAGAATCTTCCCGAATGCTTGAACTGTGTATGGCTCAATAAAACCTGACAAAAAAAATTGCTGAAGAGCTGCTGACAAATGACAGGTTCAAGTAAAGGAAATGCTTTTAAGAAAACTCTCTACTTAAAGGGAATAACGGTTTCTCAGAGGTCTGTTGGAAAAGATATGCATGCAGCTCTGCTGGTTTAAAAAAAAGTAAACCAAGAACAAGTGAAAGGATTGGGCTATTTCACAACCTGGTTTTTTTATCCATGAACGCATGCACAAAACTAGCATGTCCATGTCCTTGGAGTACCTGCATGTGATCTGTGAGTGGTTACACCTAACAGCCAAAAGCTCCATTACCGTGTCTCTCAGCAGGGCTGTCAATAGCTGGATTTCAACACATCTCTCAGTGGGGGAGCAGGAATGAGCACCGACTTGCTGGGTCACACATATGAGGCCGCAGCACAGGAGTAGCTGAGAAAAAGGCCTGAGGTGTGGATTGGATATTCATCACTCCCTTGCTCTCAAAATGCCTTAAAGAGAGAGCGAGAAGGGTTTTTTTTTAACTTTTGAGTCAGGCCAATTGTTTTAACAAAAGATTTATTCATCTGATTATATTGAAGAGACGTTATAATCAGTATATATGATATGAATATAATCGGAAAAACCTTCTTCAACCAACTGACACAAGGCAGGTGTATTTTTATAGTGCCATTCATACTTAAGGCTTTGAATGTAAGTGTTTTGAATTTAGATTATTGTAATATCATGGTGAACAGAAAAGGTTGAAAAGCAAATAGATTCTGAGGTATGTGTGCAAATAATTTAGTTTTGGGTATATCTATCTTTTAGACATAAAAAAGAAGCAAGAAAAACTTCTTTTTTTATAGTTCTATAAAAGATGATTACATCAGCAAATGAAGTAAAAACAATAATCATGAACTACTATTTAGTTTTTTAAGCATAACCGTATTTCCTTAGTTTTTATTTATTTCTAACATGTATTTATTTTTTTTTCAACTTCCCTTTTTTATATTTATTTTTAAAAAAATATTTATTCATGCATTAAATTTTGTTTCCATGAAGTCATTTTTAAAATTATTTCCTGTACACATTTTTACTAAAAGATGTTATTTCGTATTGTTTGGATTATGACTTCCAGCTTAATTCTTATTTTCATGTTTTGCATTTCCAACCATCTGTCCACATGAAGACATGTAAACTTAATTTTATTCACCAGAAGAGAGACATAATAATGTAAAATACATTTTTCTTATGACTGTAACTTCTGGTTTCCTGTCATGTGAGACAAAAACTACTGACATGTTCTTTGCAGAACCTCCCTTTAATGAAAGTGAAATTATTATTTTAAGAACTGAGGTAAGCTATGTGGTTAACTACATTAATAATTCTTTAGAAATACTTTTTTATTTTCCTGATGATTGATAGTTATTCGTTGTAACATTTACTAGTTAACGCCCAAGCACTCTTTCTTCCTCATTCTTCGGTTCTCTCAGATTTGTCCTTTTCAGCAGTGAAATTGCTGAACTAACTTACAAAGCATGATCACTCCGGAGTCATTCCTTTGGGTGAAGGACGCTGAAATATTAATCACATCAATACCAAAACATACTTTTAGGGAGAAAATTATGAAATGCTGTTACCCAACTCAAAATATTCTGTTAAAAAGATCCTTTATGAAATATTTTAATGATGTAAGCCACTTTCTATTTATATGTGTTTTCTCAAAGCTTTAACAGTGCAAGCATTGATTGTGAACGTCAGACTCAGATGCACCATGAGCAGATAAGAATCATTTTAATAAAATAACATAAAATAAAATGAAATTTTAACAAGAAAATAAAATTAATGGTAATTAATGTGTTAAAGTCCTGGCCCTAATTTCAAGACAAAGATGTTGTTACAAAGTAACCAACATATAAAATGAGCTCAGTCATACTGGGTAAAAAGTCAAGATGAGGGTTTTCAGCAAAGTTTTAAATCAGTGCAGAGTTTTGTCTAATGAGCACTGGCAGTGAGTTTCAGAACCCAGGATTCGGCACAGAAATGGTCTGAAAAAATAACCTCTGGCAGGACGTGTTGACAAAATCTATCTGCCATAATTACAGAAAGGACACCGTAGCTTCAAAACCCACAATGTTATCGAGAATCTGCTAACATGCACCATGTCAAACCTCAACGCAGATGGAAAACTTGAAGAAACTGAGGGTACAGCTCACTCAGGCATGTTTCCCAATAACACACTGAAAAATGTCTCGATTTCAGCTGTGAAATCGGACTTTTGGGGAAACAATATTAAAGCATGGGTTCACTAAGACATATATCAACAATTCAGGGTGATGATGGGGGTGTAAATTCACTTTTAAGCCTCGTAGAATCAATTAAGGCTAGTGTAAACAGATTTTCTTGCTGTTCATATTCACCCCTTCATGACCAAAAGGTACCCATTTCTCAAAAGATAGCATCATGTCACAAAACTCAAATGATCTAAAACTAGCCACCAACTAATAGGAAAATAAGTTTATTGTATTCCATTGGTCATTCCATTTTAATCCAAGGGAAACTAAAGTACTGGTTTAATTTTTTTTTACCTTTTTTTTTAGCCATATTTGGTCTGAAATTGCAAGAAAAGTGCAAGAACATTAAGCCATCAGCTCAGTGTTTGTGATAATCTTACCTCTCTGTTTGTCACTGAAGTAGCTGAAATATGTCGGACAGGTTATTGTCACCACTTCTCCAACCCTGGCTGACGGCCAACAGGCGATGATGTCCCACATCCCCTGGCAACCTGCCAAAAAAAGGTCAATAACACAAACATTGCATCACTCACCATACGACAGGAGACGTCATATGGTGAGAGCAATGACAGAACGAAGTCATGGCACAGCGGAGTCCTGAATCTTTCAGTGCCACAGATCTGCAAAAAGTCTGGTTTACCAAAGTCATCTGTGTGGATCTCATAAAATAATTTCTTAGTTGTATTTTATAAATGAAAGCAAATAATCGCTGTGCCAAACATTTTGTAAATTTTGTGGTCGAAGGGAAATAATCTTGCTCTGAACACACAAAATAATCAGATAATGATTCAGACTTAAAATTATTTATTGTTCAAATGTTTCTGTATTAACTGTATCAACAAATAAATACCAGAGAACTGAAATTGAGCATGTTGTCCTGGATAACTTTGTGAGCTGCAGAGATTTCTTTCTTAAGTCGTCATAGAAATCTGTTTCTGTATTTACACGTCAAGGTCACAGCCTTGTCAGCCGTCCTCATTCCGCCACCTAACACCCTGTAAAGTCTCAAGAAGGTGTGAAAACACAAAAACACAAGCTGTAAACTATCCCTGTGCAAATTTAGTTTATGAAAAGTTCAAAACAAAGAAAGTTCCTCAAAACATTTGAGTCTTCAGAGCGAATCCACCGGGGCTGAAACTTTCTCAGCCATATGTTGTGGATGTTTGCTCCCCCATAAATGGACAGTCAGCTAATTCATTTATACAGGATGTGACCTCAGAGTTCAACTTTCACTACCTTCCTGTTGAGGAAGCAGATAGGAGAGCAGAAAAATGAGATCAGTGCAGAGATAGGGAAAGCTGTTCCCACACCAGCTCTTTGTATGGGACCACTTAAAGCAAAGTACAGTTTGTCCAGCAGGTATATATGTTAAAACGAAAGCAGGTGGAGGAAAGGCTAATACCGTCTAATAGGTATAAGTGATTTTGTGCTCTTAGAAATGACAGAAAACAATGATTGAGTGGGTGAGAATTTAAAGCAGTAGCAATTTAATTTTCAGATAATGCATTAAGAGGCATTACTGTTGTTAAACAATTTTACAGAAGTGTGTTGAAGAGGCCTGTCCATTTAGAGGGATCATTTCTTACACCTACAGATGATGTGACTTATCACAACTTTTTTTGCACGTTCAAGCTAGTTTTTAAACTTTTGTGACTTTTCTCATTATTGAAGTTGTTTAAACTCCTACAGTGATTGAAATGTTACAACTGGTTGTCTATTAATGGATCTGGATATGGAAATATGAGTTCTTAATTACACTGGCTAATAAGGCCTTTGGTTTAATCTGTGCTGTGTTTTAACAATAATAATAATAATAAAAAGAAATTTTATTTGAGGGTTTGTTTGAACTCAGACATCAGCATAGTTAAGGATAAATCTGATTCTTAGTAGACAGCAGCAAAGACAAGGCTCTGAAATGTCTAATGATCATCTGATCAGATCTACAAGCTGACTTGGAGGCGTGGAAAGAAAAAAAAAAAAAAAAAAACAATTTTGTCCAACACTGAAAAATTTAAAAGTGGAGGATTTTTTAAAAACTTTCCTGGAGCTTCAACAGGAACCGTAATATTTGGTCAGACAATGCTAAGATTGAGCTTTTCAGCAACAAACTGGCCAGTTTGGTGGGTCAAAGCAAAGAACTGCTGTCATGGTATGTCTAAGCTGAAATCTTTGTATCTCTTTTCTGTGATCACTTAGTGCAATCAAAGTGCCAACCTCTGATTTAGAGCTCTAACAACCAAAGACGACTGGTGACAAATATCAAGCAAAGTCTCACAAATTCTGGGAAAACATTGAGGTCTGACTGCAGCAGCGTCGACTGTGCGCAGTTATTGCAGGTTCTACTGCTGCCTCTCTTCCCTCCTCACCTCTTCCTCTTCACCATCCTACTCTCATAATAAACACATTGCCATCCATAACATGCTGTCCATTTATTGATGGACCGACATGTCAGACCCGTCTGACTCGATTGTGCTGAAGCTACAATTCATGCAGTTTGTCATCTGGCCAGGCCGTGTGACAGGAGCTACTGTAATGTCTCACTCAAACAGCGTGACACATTCAAGTCCTGTGCGGTTTTTGAAAAGCTGGGATTTGATTGTGTTAAAGCACCTCATATTGGGTCAAGCATGGTGAAGGATCTGTGATGCTGTGAGCTTGAATGTCTTACAAAGATCATGGCAATCTTGTTAGTCTGTGTGACATGGTGATGTCACTCTTGCTCCCTACTCTTCCCTCCTAATAGCCTCCTGTACACACTCAGCAAACAAAAAGAGTTTTCAAGAATGACCTGAAGTGACATTCCCAGATGTGTGATTTTCACAGCGCTCTTTCTCCAGCTCGATCTCGTTCATCACGTCGCACATCTGTACTGATAGTACCTGCAAAAAATTAAGAACACAAGAGAGAAAAACATGCATCATTTCATTGTGATAGAGAAATTACTTGTGAAAAGTTTTTATTCCAGTGATAAGAGAAGTTAAAAGCTTCTGTTCAAGTGTTTTCTTACTTTGTTTTTTTATTTTATTTTATTTTTTTGTTACAACATTTTAGCTTCCCGTAAAGGCTTTTCTCAGTCAGAATCAAGCTCTGGCTGATAACGCAGTAAATGCACAGAAATGTTCTCTATGTCAGAAATCTAAACAAAGCCTCTTCTTGGAAAAGGAAAATAGATGCTATCATGCAAATGGATTAGGAAGTGGAGAGGGGAGCCACTGAGTAATCTGCTGCGATTGTTCATCTGTGTCAACAAAGGCTGAAAAATGCGGGCTGACAGCCACTGGCAGAGAGCCGCTGGGCCAAAGAAAACGTGTAAGACGAGCAGCAAAAGCCTGAGAAGGTCAGAGGAGATGAGCAGAGAGCGGGATAGAGGAGTCAGGATGAACCAGAGCATATTCATGAACTCTCCCAGCCAAAGCTCCAAAGCAGTGAGAGCAGCAAAGGTCAGAGTAGAAGGAGTGCTGGAGCAAAAAGTAGTTGATGTATTAACAATTCACTGAACCCGGCATGGCCAGTAATTAGCCAGTATCCACACTTTAAGCCACCCTGCTGTTGCAAATCATTGCTGTCAGGAAAAAAGAACAAGGACATGCCATATAGGAGCAGCTGTCATTTTCAGACCGATTTTTTTAATCTGACAAACATCGGAGCTCTATTAAACATGGCTATTCATATACCACGTATATGTTCTTATATTTATGTTTCTGTAATTTGTGTTTAACAGGATCTCTCACAATAAGTCTTTTACTTTTTCATATCATGCTTCCTTTTTTTCCTTTTAAAAACAGCTTTAGATTTGTGGGTTCAACTGCAGACTGGGGTACAAGTACGTTTCTCTGTGTTTTTCTGGGTTATTCAAACCTAGGAAATTGCTTAAAAATCCCATTTGTTAGCTCTTTAATTCTGGCAATGTCTTTGTTTCTTATCTGTTCTTTCTTTTGATCGATTCATAAAATCTTCCAGCCTGCTTCTTAATGACAGTCTGTTTGAGTGATGTTCTGAAGCTTAATGAGCCTGAGTGCGGCTTGTAAATTTGATTTAAGTAAAACACTAAGACACAGTGAGACCAGTTATATTTTAACGATGAAACATTTAAGTGTTTGGCACTCTGCACATTACGACTCAACAAGTAGAGTTGCCTTTGAGCAACCTGATTATCACAAAAAAAAAAAAACTACTACGATATAATTAAAGTTCATGGATGTAACAAAACACACTTAGCTAAAGTCCAATAGGTATGAATATTTTTACAAGCCTCTTCTGTCTTGTCTGGGTTTAAGTTATTGCTTTTTTTGCCTCCCCCTGACATGGATGAGGTCACACTGACACCATCCATGAGGTTTTGCTCACGGGAGTCGTTCCCTAAAACTGATTACAGCATCAAATCCGATATACCTGAAGTAATGGCAGCAGAGCAGCTGGGAGATCAGACTTTAATCTGCCAACTGGATGTACATAAATCGAGGCAGAATGAAATCTCCTGTTGGTTGAGCCATTTGGTGACTTTATTATTGATTGACCTGGAATAGACTCTGGGTCAGTGTACCAACTGTGCACTTATTTAGTTGCTTCATTTGCACAACAAGGTTCTCTCTGAAAAAGACACTTTCATCACATTAAATTTTCAGCACAACATAGAACTGTCCTGCATTGTAGCTAGCACATTATTATAGATGTTACACTTAAAAATCCTCAATAGAAAACAAAGCAATAATTCAAATGTATGTGAGAAATGTCCTGACTCTCCTCTCAAAAGGCCAGTCATCTGTCAGACATGGAAACACATCCAACTAAAGGTGTATTTCACTTTGTACAGCCTGACTCAGCAGTTTCCACTGGAGTAAGGACGGAGATCGAACACAGCATGAAAGGCATCACTAACGAGCTGAATAGAAAAGAAGAGGGGGCAACACTACAGGGTCTAAACTGCAGTTTGATCATTTTGTGCAAGAACAATACACACAAAACCCTCTGTAATTAAGTTTTTAAGCAGAATTTTATTGTAAAATGACGTGTCAGGAAACAATTAATGGAAATATACTTGCTGCCATTACAGCACTCCAACACTTTCAGCTTCTTTCCTCTGGGAATTTTGACATTTTAGTTTTAGGGAAGAGCTCTGAGATTTTAAGGTTGCAAGGACTTTACTGTCATCTTGCATTCAAAATTATTCATAATTATTTTGTTACATGTGTGAATATTTCCTCAAATGCATGAGGAATTTTGAGAGCAGCACTGTCATAGGAGAAAACTTCTGATTCATCGTTTTTGTGCCACTATAAGTGGGCTGTGCTCGACCTGTCACAGCTAATACGAACAGGTAAGAAAAGACCTTAAGGAATGTTGCCACATTATCCGTGTTATTCGTTTAGATCACACTGTGAGAGCAGATTTCATCTTCTTCAGCACATATTTATGGATTTCACCGTCAATATTTGTAGACCTCAGTTTGAGAAAAATCCAACACAGCTCTCTGGAAATGTTTCAAGTGGCAAGATGTGGCCCTTGTCATCTGGTATGCAAGTAATTTTTCCCAGGGTGAAATTTCTGTTGCCATTTCTCTGATGCAAGCTTTCTTTGAGGTGACCTGACAAAACAAAACTCCCCTGAAAACAGTGGAAGCTAAATGGTTTCACATTTCATGTTCAAGCTTTGAGTGGCGTTACATGCAAATATTTGTGTCAAAGGAGATTTCACACCAAGTAAGGCTATCTGAAATTTAAACAACTTGGCAACTGAGGACCCAAACACAAACAGAAGATAGGCAATTTATCTGGAAGAAAATTTACAAAACTATGGAGACTCATTGTTTTTTCATTCTTGCTATGCTATGGTAGTGTCACGATGGTTCATATGTCTTCTACATTTTGCTTATGATCCTGAAGTTCCTAATTGAAACCTTGGTTCAAATCATTTTCGGGTGAGGGGACGTCTGTTGCTCCTCACCTGCTAAAAATCAGAATAGGCAGAAGCTGAAGTCACTTATTTAATGGTGTTACATGGAGAAGTAAAATGACCAGGATCTTAAAAAATTACAAAATATTACACAGCAGAGCCTGATGGGTAAATGTGCCCACTGCCAAAAGTCTGCACAAAATATCTCAGGCTTTGACAGTAAACAAAGTTCAAAATGAAAGCCACTGTAGTGTTTCTCTATATTGAATGATGACTGTTGGAACTTGAATAAGTCTGCTGTGTGATGAATGAAGTTCACAAAAGTAAGAAAAATCCAATATTTACTCCCCACTTTCCTCCTACTTTTACTTTCATCAGAAACAATAAAAAACTCCTTAGTGTTTGGTGTTTTTCAAAATAACAGGCTCAAGTTTCAAGCCGATGATTCCCAAAAATGATTAATGCTGCATAAACACAATAAACTCGGAGACAAAGCCCCTCATCAGACAAGTAAACAGACATAATGGAGTGACGTCTGCACTGCCTTAGCCTGTAGGCTGCTGGGATCAAGTGTTTTTTATTGCTCAAAGATGGTTTATTTTTTCACAAAGAGGGTGACCTTCGATGAAACAATCATCCAAGTTCACTGCATGGATTCAACCCTGTCCTCAAAGAAACAGAAGTACAGAAAGGGCAGTAATTCCTTTTTTTTTCTTCTTCTTTTTTTTGTTGGATTTTGGTGTAAAGTGCAAAAAGCAAAATGAATTACGTACCACCTGAGGTTGAAAATATACTTCTAACATCTCCAGCTTAACACTTCTCCAATACCGACAGCAAGATTGAACAATAAATCAATCTCCATGTCCTAAACCTTGCAGCAGATGATAAGTGGACCTCTGGAAAGCCCTAGGGAAGCACACATACACACTACAGCTTAGAAAGAAAAACATCTCATAAATACCTGTCAGCTTTGATAGTTTGAGCAGAGCTCATCCTGAGGGCCTACCAGTCTGGTGCTTCTCAATTTTTAGGGGCTGTTGTTCTTTAAAATGGCAGCCATGTTTACCTTGCATGATGGGGAGATAATGATCAAATAAAAGATAAGAAGAGTTGAGAGAAAAATGAAAAGAGAGGCATGTATCGTTGTGCGGCCCATCAATCCAGCGTAATATATCCAGCCTCCATCTCTATGTGGAGCAACATCTACACCATGTGGAATCCTCGCTCATTAATTTTAGGATTTATTAGCAAATGTGCAAAAAAAAGAAGGTATTATATATATATATATATACACATATATACTAGCCAAACACAAAGAAACATCACTTTTAAACACGTTTAGTGAACTAATAAATAACATCCCGAATTACTGTGAAGAAATATAATCTGAAAAAATCAATACAATCCTCAATTAAATGGATCCAGTCCAGAGAAATTATTTTTTTACACTATCTGAAAGAAAGGCAAATTATATAATCGTTTTAAATGCAGTTTATTAAGGTTTCAATAAGGGCAACAGAAAGTGGAAGTCCCAGTGTGTCAGTCATTAATATTCCACCACATGCCTCCAAAACGCAGCAGGTGTGAAGTCCGACAGCCATTAAAGCATCATACATATCAGCTCCAGTCAGATGTAATAGTAAGAACAACATAAGCAACAACCGTTTGTGTTTGGAAAAATGAACAATGGTGTTGCTTCACCATTAATTTTAAAATCTTAAAGAACCTGACCTGAAGAGCCAATCCACAAAGGTTTTGAGAACAATATCCGACTGAAGGATTGCGTCTGAGCTTCTGAACATGATGATGGTCATGAACTATTTCACATCCATCTCTTCTTTTGTCTCTGCTGCACAAGCTGCGTATGTGACCAGAAACATTTACAATCTTTTACATCTTTATCTTGTTTTCTGTGAAGCCAACTGCTCAGCATTTTGCCCTTTTATCCTTATTTTTTCTCCTGCACAACCAGCATCTGTCAGCAGATGCTTGGGGTTTTTTTTCCAGACAATCAGTGTACTACACCATCAGGATAAGAACACAGATTCAGGACCAGAAATGGCTTCATGAGCTGCCTCCTATTTCATTTTAGATTTCAAAGACCTTCATATTACTGTGAAAATGTCAGAACAGCAGGCATTAGTCCTCCTTCAAACCAGATTAACGTTGCCCAAAACTCCAGAGCCTCAGAGCCTATTTGAACATTGATGGATTACGTCAAAATCAGAAAACCTATTCAGTGCAAACATAAAACTATGTGCTTTCCTAGCCATCTAGTGACATCATTGCAACAAATTTCTGTATGCTAAGAACCTCCTTAGATGTATATTAGTCTCAGATTCAGCCTTGCAGCAAAGAAGGAAATAAACATTAGTATTTTCTCCCTCATTCACAGCATGAGGGAGCAGCACTGCTCCATCTGCCACAGCATTCTGTGTTCATATACTTCATACAGTGCTGTCATCACTAAACTCAAAATCCAAAACATATCCCCAAGAGACTGTCACACCCAGGCCCCAAAACCGGAACCTGATTGTGCTGCAACTAGTTTGAAATTTTGTTCTAAACCGAATCTTTTTTACCTTTTTAACCCTCTGTGTTGTCTTGAAACAATATGGAGCTCCTATTCTGAGGCTCCAAAACAAAACCAAGAAAAGTGAGAACTGCCTATTTGCACAATTTGGAGGTGTGTGTGTTCCTTTCTATTCGGGAGATCTATCTCGTAGTAGGTCGGTGCATTACCATCTCCTTGTACAGGTGGAGGCGTATTTATTGGCTCGGAGATCTTGCTTGTTTCATCTCTTTAATTAAATCCTTTTAGTTACAGACCAATCATTGATAAAATCCAACACAAATAGCAGTTGCCTTTGAAATGTTGGTAAACCTGTAAGTATGTGAAAATGTTTCAATCTCAGAATGAAGCTGGCAAAGCCAGACCACCTTCAAAATTCTCTGAAATCTTCCAGGTGTGTGTTGGATAAGCTGTCTCTGCTGTTCCCAGACTCCTGCATCCATGAACACAGATATGTAGCTACTAAAGGTGCCTCACCACAGGGGGTCCAGCAACAAAGCAGACAACAAATTCCAACTCTCTAACTTCTGCAACAGAGAGTAAACCTCATTCTTGGTGCATCACTTGGTGCATCACAGAAAACCTTTCCAAAACCAATTTTTTTAAAATATTAGAATTTTGCAGATTTCTATGGCACATTCAGGCTTTTAGAAAACTATTATTGCATGCATTTAAGCACAGCAGATGTTCATAGATTTATCTTTTCACTTGCCAAATGTATGTTTGTTCAAGTGACTAAACATGTTAGATATATCAGAGAACAAATTGCCAAACACAACGTGTCCTGTTGTCCTGTTAAGACAACAGGACAGCCAAAGTCATACATTTTTAGTTATAAGTTGCTTAATTTTAAAAGTGCTCAAATATTTAATGATGAAACAAAAGGATAAGTGCCTGGTAAAACATAAAGGTGTGCTTCATACGACTGTGAACCTGCTTCATTGTTTCTCTGCAGAAACTCAGCTGGCACATCTTAGCAGGGTCTGCTTGCTCGCCCCTGAGGGCTTTTAAAGAAACAAGTCGCTCGACAAAAAAAAAAGTGAGAGGAGGAGAGCTGTGTAGTGATGTTCAGCCAACAGAACATCCAACTGTATTATAAGAACGACACGGCTGAGGTAATGTTTTCTCCTTTGTTATAAGTCGGGGCAACACTCACACCAGCCACAAATTCAGACAGTTTCTTGCTTGCTTCTCTAATTGTCTGATTCAATAATGAAATATGAGACAATAGAAAGAGAAAAGAAAAAGGCTTTCTTACTTCTTGGTAAAAATGTGACTAAACATTGCTTGCTTGGAGCTGCATTGAAAATGAACAATACAATGAAGCGTCACACTGAAAAAGTAATCCAGTTCATGTCAGCTGAAAGTAAGAGGACGGCAAGTCTCCGTCTGCAGAGAGGCAGCGTGAAACAGTGAAAATGAATGTTCTGCTTGGTTGGGCTTGGGAAAAGATTACAATTTAGGTCATCAGTATAAATGATATCATGGAAAGATGGGAGAATGGTAAAATGGCTTCTTGAACTGTTGGATGCTCAGGCAACAGGAAACCGGGTGCTCATACTAAAACGTAAAGAAACATGATTATTAACATTAGTTGCTATGTTTCAGTCAACATTGATGTTCATGCTAGCTGTCTCATTCATCTCTAGGAGCCATCTGTTTTCTAAGAACCTGATGTTATCTCTGACCTTATTGATGACTGATTCAGTTTTGCAGATTTAAAAGTGCTGCTTCACAACCTTTTTTAATAAACTGATAAAAACCAGCCTCTCTGTTCCCGCTAAAGAACTTTCTTTGAATTAAGCTGTGTTGTGTTATTTGAAGTGTTCTGTTTATGGCTGCTGTGAGGGAAACTCATTTGTTATGGCCTGCTCTGTTAACCAGCGGGAGGCGTGTCAAACAAATGCTTTCCTTCAAAATTTACCTCATTTCTCATTCTGTAACCACAACAGGAAATCACCCAGCTGCACTCGAGCGCAAACAGTTTAGATGAAGACGAACTTTATTTATTCAGATAGTTCCTTTCGGTGTCAGTCAGGTGATTTTGTTTTTCACGTCCAGAGGGAAGGACGAGTTATTATTGCCCACCGCGCTCTCTCCGTCTGCCATCTGCTTTGTGTTAAATCGATAACAGTGGCATTCGCCCACTGGCGTGCAGTTTTACCCACTTAGGGGACGTTCTGTGCAGGCTTCAAAACCACATTTTCTCACTGGATGTATTGATGTAACATGTCAGGCTGTGTCACTTCAAAGCCACCACAGAGGACTTTGAGAAAAACGCACAGCAAGAGCCACCGAGGTGGATCAACAAGTGATGATTCCTGTTAATTCAAGGCGTCTGGGTGGCCCAAAAGTAGTAAAAGGCAAGGAGGGAGGGAGTCTTTGTTCTTTTGGGCCTCAAGGGAGCCTTCTTTGTGGGCAGTAGCTATACTTAATCCACAACCATCATTCATGTCCTGGTGTTGTCTTTGATTGCCTGACAAGTATTTGAAAATGAGGAGAAAAGCATCCACTTCTTTGAAATCACAAAAGGGTCCAAACAGCAGTAACGGAGGTATAAATGGTTAAAAAAAGGAATCTGAAACAAATGTGATAATAAAGCAATCTGCTGCATAGTTCCACAAAAACACTCATTCAATCAATGGATGGATGGATGGATTAGAAAATACCTATATTTTTCCAGACATTTCTTGTCGTTCTCTATCCTCCACTTTGAATGTACTGATTGCTGCACATTATTTGATTGCGAAAACAATGATTGAAGGTGAAAGCAGCTGAATTCAGATCTCATTCAGGTGCTCTGACTCACAATCCAATCTGTTAAAAAATGTCTACTTCATAACAGTGTGGCCTTGGTTTAGGCCATCTTTTTGAATTGTGAACGTTTTCTTCATTGAACAGAGAGCGTCTGTCAACAACTACCAAGAATTTAAATGTTCTGAGTCACTCTCTGAGAAAAGGATGAAAAAATGTTTGAGAAAAAGTCAGACATCTTTAGATTGTCAACAAGTAGTCCTGACATCACCAATTTGAGGTTTTCATTGTAAATCTAAGTTATTAAATGACTTTAATTTCATCTAGTAGGAATATTACTAAGTAATGTAATCACTTTTGGGTAAAAATTACATTAGTAGTGAAATGCACAATAATCAAATCAACCAACTGCTTAAACATGATCATCAGGCTATTTTAAATTTTAAACAACACTTACTTTTGGAAGACATCCGTACAGCAGCAGCAGAAACAGCAGCTGGAAAGAATCCATCCTGTCGTCTGTTTCTTTTCCCAGTTTCAGCAAAGGACAGCTGGTGGGAAGTTTAATCAGTCCTATTTGGATCAGGTGATTTCTTCTCTGTAAAAACAACTTAGGCACAAAGAGAGCTGACTGAGGAAAAAGGCTGCTGCGGCTAGATCAGACCGCGCTCCGGTCTGTGCGCCTCTCCAGCAGCAGGAGAGCTGCATCTACTCCACCTCCCTTTCCGGCATCCCTCCCCTCAGCCATTCACAACTCCACGGCATCGGTCCCAGGGGGCCGTTAACAAGGCTGTCATCTCGCTACGTGTTGTCAGAGGATTGTGTCGGTAAGAGAGGCTGGTAATTAATTACTGTGTAATCCCTGATATTCCATTTTAATCTTCTTCAAATAAACAGAGGCTGAACGCAGCCTGACAGGCAGGATGAAAGATGATTTTATCAGGAGTGTTGGCATGGCCAAGTTAAACCTTTCTAAATGTCATTATGAGTAGACTCTAAAATGCATAGAAAATAAATCTGATTTATTAGTTTTAACTCAGCGAAAATCACTGATTTACCAGCAATTCAACTGAAAATGCTTGGTGTATTCAATAAAATGCTTACAGAAATCAAATAAAACCATATGTGGGAGAGAAGCATATGAAAAAATAAAAATGATCTTATTTGGTAGTTTGAAAATGTTGGGACAAATGTTGAGCAGTTTTAATCAGGCATTAGGTGAAAAATGTGACACAATTTATTGGGTTGCAGAAGAGACTCGATAAACTTCATATGCCTCCATTTTGAGCCATACAAAAAAGCTACTCTTGTTCCTCGGCTCCATATAGCTGTTAAAATTTTGAACAGAGTGACTTTAACCAATGGCAATTCAAGCATGAATTGGGCCTTTCAAAGAAGAAATGAAACTCAATCCAACGACTTCTAATGTAATTAATAACTACACTGGACTGATATTACCTGATCCAGACAGATAACAAAGCAATACAAGCAACTCAATTAGATATGATCTGATAATATTTATTACACTGAGAAGCCCTCGTGTGATCCAGCCTCTCAGGTGGTCCCATGTCTAAGAAAACACTCCCTTTTGAAGGAAAATAACATTTTAATGTGTGCAAATTTTGTTTTTCAGAATCTCTGTTCAATGATGAATATTCCAGTTGCTATCTAAAAAGTTTACATATTTCAGATTTTTACTAGAGATGATCAAATTCTGCCCAGAACCCCAAAACCCCTCAAAATAACCATTTAATTCAATTTAATTGTGAATCTTTAAGTCCCATTATGCAGCATTAATACATTTTTTATGCTTACAATGTTGACAACAAGAGAGATATTGTACTCTCCACAACATCCTAATAGTATCTTGCTGAAAACACTGAAGAACCCAAACTTTCTCAAAAAGTAGAGTCTGCTTGTCACTTCTTGTACAAAGTTTCTCTTTATGTTGTCTTGGTTCATTTTTCCTGACCAGTTTAACCAATTTTCTTTCATATGAAGCTGACTAATATTTCCTGACATATTAGTGGGATGCTATTGTATTTCAGCCAATGTTGACGTGAGAAAGTCCACACTATATTCTAAAAACACTGAAGTGGTGTGCTTCATATTGAACTAAATGCTGCACTGTTCATAAAGGCACATTTTCTTCTGCCGTATGTATTATTTCTTTATGTTTTTCGTCACTATGTTGTCACAGATCTCACTACACCCTTGAAGTTAAGCTCCTGCAACTTCAAGAAGAAAGTGTAGAAAAATCCAAAAACACAGCGTGATCTCTTTCCATTAGCAGTGTTTTTGGGCAGAACGGGACACAGTGACCATCCAGACAGAGGATGTCTGCAGGAGGCGTCCAGCATCTCATTATCATAATGACAGACAGAAGCAGCCAATTGTGACACATGGTCCCTTAAGTAAATAAGGACACATCTGCTGAACAATTGCATGCATAAAGTCTGTCATCCATAATGCTGGAGTAGTGCATTTACTGCTGATCCGAAAAGATGTGTCCAGAATAACCATACGTAGAAAAAGAAATGTAGACTCATCATAGCACTTTTCATCACTATTTGGTCACCACAGCTCAAGGAAAGTCAAGAAAAGGTAGGTGCAGAAGAGATGTATCAATCTGTGGGAGACAGTTTTATCTCCAAGGTGTTTGAGCATCTTTAAATCCACCTTTCCTCTGTCAAACCCCCTGCAGTCACGCGGACGCAGCCTTCATCCATCCTGACTGCCACGTCGGATGTTCATCCTGTCGAGCTTCCAGTCCAGCGCCTGCGAGTCCGTCCCAGCTGATTGGCCGCCACTCACAGATGACTGGACCTCACAGCTCCCTTCTCTGTCTCTGTGACTGACTTCACTCTCACTGTCGTCCCTCAGCAGGAGCTCATTCATGAATATGGAGAAGGCAGAGCAGTGCTACAGAAAAATACAAGCAGAACACCAGAAGTGTTTTTTATTTGTTACCTGCGCTTTGTGAGGTCACGTCTTAACACACACCTGTCTCATGTGTGAAAGCCGATGTGTTCTCTGAAAACACTCAGAAAACATAAGTTTCATATTTAAAAAAATACATTTGTATTTATCATGAAAGGTCTTTTATTGCCTTTGGCTGTTACCTTCACTTTTCTGATATAAAATGAAAGAGTAACACTGAAAGAATCTCTAATGAAATGTAATTCATTTTTATTCATGTGTACATACATTCATCTTCACAAGAACATTTTTTGTTGTTGATTTCTTCTCATATCGTCAGAAAATTGTTTACAATAACTTAGCATGGACTGTTGGTTAAATCATTAATGTGTAATAAAATATTCTAACCCTCCAGCAACGACGCATCCCATTTTTCTCATTCATAACAATACTGCAAGACAATTAAACAGAAATAATAAAACTACAATTATAAAACATTCTCTTATGACCACACAATGTGTTTTTCCATTAGTCCTCCCACTGCCATTGCTGCCGTTCATCCATGCGCCGAGCAGAGTCCTTTCGCTCTCTCCATGTAAAAACAAAATGCAACTAGAGGTGAAGGTGAGAGCATTAGTGTGTGAGTCGTCGTTGTCTGCTTGTAATTCAGGTGCGTGCAGGCAGGACTTTAGCCAGCCGGGCCTGGTTAGAGCTAACAAAGCAAGAGGAAATTGGAAATGGATTATAAATAAATAAATAAATAACTGCAATGCTTTATCACTAAAAGCAACTCTTTGTTGTTTGCGAGTGAGAGGAACAATAAATATGACCTGGCTGAGTCGGCTGAAATTGATGTGGGAATCTAAAGCTGAAATATAATGAAACTTTAATAGGAAGCATGCAATTAGTTTTGGTAGCAATATTCAAGAAAGCCCGATATTTAAAACGTTTTTATGAGGCAATTAAGAAAAACATACCTTTACCTACCGATATCGGAGTATCTGTACATCTGGGTACATAAAGTATTGTTTATGGGGACAGTTTGGGGTATTTGCTGAAGACTTTGAAAAGAATTACATATTTTGCAAAGAAAATATGTTTTTGTACACATTTATTCTCTGCGATTTGTGGGCCAATTTAAGAGATTCATCTCAGATTCTCATGTAACCAAATTAATCTCACAGATTAAACTCTTCAGAGGAAATGATAATTTTCAGTCTAAGTCTATCATGAATGGGTTCCCCACAAAAAATTACCCACGAATAACAGATGTAAAGAAAAATAAAAGTTACATTTCTTTAAATCCATCCCAAATCAAATTACTGACAAACAAGGCGTGTTTTCTTATCTACCAGTTCTATTCTTTTTGATAGACATTTAACCAGTTTCCACATTTTCATTTCCACCAGCCCAGATGCTCTAGCAGGTCAGGATACACTTCCTTCCAGGAATTCCCATTTCCTGAAGATTACCGTAGCTTCAGTATGGCGGTGTTCTCGTGTGCAGCGGAGGTGTGATAAACACTGCGGCAGGCGGCTGGCAAAAGCGAGAGGTGGAGCATGACACACACAGAGCAACATAATGGAGGTACATTGCGTTGACAGCAATCATATTGACAGCCAACCTGATGTTCTGTCTTTTAGGTCAGGAAGAGCAATGTGCCAGCTGTGGCGCAGCCAGTCAGCTGTCATCTTTCAAACACAGCAACTACGTACTCTCAGCCACGTCTGACGGTTCTTGATGCACTTCCCTCTGATCCTGAAATCTAAGCAAGATGTAACACAGCTGGACATTTTCTCAGTGCATTTCTTTAATTATGTAACTACTTCAAGTACTTCCAGATGCAAATAAACTCAGTCTACATGTGCCATATTACCAGCAACTTCTTATATAAACAAAATCCTTTGAGAAGTTTTGTTGTGACAAGTCAATCTTGGAGAAAGTTGCAAGGGAGGTGCAGGGTTGTTCGCCTGGCTGATGCAAAGAAAATACAAGCCAGCAAACATTAAATTCAATCATTATCCTCTGGGACTTTTTATATAGATTCAAACTTCAGTTTATGGTCTTGTGATTATTCTTTAGACTAACCTAAAGAAAAAGTACATCTCTCTCCCATACAAACTGCAAACCTGCTCCTAAACAAAACCAAATGAGGCCAGAGGAAAGTAATCTGTAGCCCTCCTGTAGCTTCAGGAAAGATTAACACAGTCATTTATCCGGCAAAAAAAATTCCATTTATTGCTGGAGGGTGACAATTATTCGGCACAGAATAATATCTACTGCATTCTGTCACAGCATTAAGATTATTAATAGTTTTGTGCTTGTTTTAGAACAAGCTTAGGTAAGACTTCACCATTACTTGAAGAGGTTGTTTGTACTTCCTGTTTTCCTCTGTGGTGGAAGAAAACCTCCATGTTTAGTTGAAACAGGCTTCATTTCTGGTAATATGCTCTTACAGCTCAATTAGAGATGGAGTCTGGTTTAAGGGTAGTGTGTGTGTGTGTGTGTGTGTGTGTGTGTGTGTGTGTGTGTTCGTGCGTGTGTGCGTGTGTGTGTGTGTGTGTTTGCAAACTCTATTTGAGTTTCAATGTTGCTGTTGAAATAATGTCTTTTTCCTCTTTGAGAGGCCTTTCTGTCCATATTTGCACAGGACTTGTTTTCTGTGAATAATGAGTTCTTCATAAAGACTTTTTTTGTTTGGTTTTTGGTTTTCGTTCTTGTGTTGCCCTCATTTTGGAC